TCATTTTTTTAAATATTTTCAGGTCATCAAAATCCAGGCCCTGCATATTACATTTTCGGGTCATGTTTTAGGTCATTTTTCTGGATTTTTTCGGTCATCAAAATCCGGGCCCTGGTGATGATATATACCCAAACACCATCTGACTGTTGACTATAAATCTACCATTTGTTTTACCTGTTCTGTGCACCTACAGTGTATCCACTGTGTTTGCTTTACTTCACTGAACCACCCCTATTCCTCTCAGGTTTGTTAAAGTAACTAGATTCGGTACTATTTGTTGTTGCCAGACTATATTAGTCATTGGCTTCAACCTGCATTACCTGTTAACTGTCCAACCAAGCTAAAACCACATCTACACTGCTTTATGAATAGCCTGACACATTAAAAAATGGATGAAAAGTGTCAAAGAAAAAGAATGTCCAGGGCATCCATTTGCATCAACTACTGAAGGGAACACTGAACGCATTCATGCATTAATTTTCAACAACAGGGGGATGTCTAATGATGAAGTGGTAAATCAACTGCAGCTTAGTCATGGCTCTGCCTCTGAAATCATTTACCACAGACTTCACTTCCAAAAGGTTTGTGCAAGATATGTTCCGAAACAACTCATGGAACAGCACAGGCATAACCCTTTGGACAGGTGGTATCACAAGGGAAGTGACACCTTTCTAAGTCACACTGTCACTGTTAACAAAACACGGATCTATCATTACAAGCCATACAGCAAATGTAAAAGTATGGAATAGAAACATGTGACATCACTTGTCAAAAAGAAATTCAAATCTCAACCAAGAGCATGAAAAGTCATGATCACACTATTCTGGGATTCAAAGGGACCAATCCTTGAGCATTATCACGAAAGAAGATAAGACAAACAGTGCACATTACACAGTGCCTGACAAGATGAAACTGGCGATTTGGAGGAAATACTGGGATACCAGTTAAAATAAATGTGGCGTTGGCTGACAATACCCATTCCCACATGGCTGCTCACACTGTTTAAATGCTCCAGCAACTATGTTCTGAGATCTTAATGTCTGTCACACACTCATGACTGGGCTCTGCCAGGTATTCATTGTCTGAAACCTTCAAAGTTGCTGAGGAAGCTGCTGTTTGTCAACAACCACAAGCTGAAGAAGGTGGTGCATACATGGCTTTCCATCCAGTCAAAAACATTCTTTCTGTAATGGCACATATAAGCTTGTGTTAACACTGGACCATGTGTACTGCCTACAATAGAAGTATTGTTGGAAACGGTGTTTTGGGCTCTGCAAAGGAGACTGAGAAGATGGCGCTATGAGTTCAGGCATGTTAAAAGTTGGGCAATGGCGTAACCACAGAAGCTGAAGAACCTTCAGTGTTAAGCCTGTTTCCAGGAAACGGCTAGTGGAGAAGAGACTGAGGACACTAGTCTGTGTGTCAGTGAACTATAAAGTATAGTTCCGAGTGTTGTATACAAATGGTCAACAAATCAAATTCACCAATCCATACCCTGTCTATAGGCACACACCCCTAAATACGTGATGATATAGAAACAAGCTCACTGAGGCCTCAGGTATTTATACTGCAAGTCAGAAATGTGCGCAAGTAAGTACACTATGCTGTCATCCCCACAGCAGTCCACACAAAATTTGTAGAAAGTTGCATTTAATTTCAGCCCATTAAGAAAGCACTGTTTCTTTGAACACAGAATCCATAAAGTATAGTAAAAAGTAAAGTAAAGTAAAGCTATCCCTGTAACAGGGCGTGAAGGCCCATAGGGTTGTGAGACGTTGAGGGTCCCACATTATCTAGACAATCGGCTCAAAGATGGCTGTAAGGTTGTCAGCCTTAAGCGCCAGCTGTGCTTTACTCCCCAGGAAAATTATTTAATTAATTCTTGGCACTCATTTCTGTTAGAAGCTGAGTCAACCCCAGGGCCATAGTGCAGCTGGAACGATTAGGTCAATTGAAAAAATCCAATGACCTCATCAGGACTTGAACCCACAACCTTCCGGCTTGTAGCACAGCCCCTCAACCAACTACACTACCGCGTGCCCCCCCCACAGAAAAAATTATATGAACAAAAGAATATAAATATAGAAAGACATAACTTCCCATTACTCATGCATATTTTTACATTAAACAAATGCTGTTCCATGCAAGGATTTTTTATTGGTTTCCACTCTGTATTCTTGGGATCAGTGCCATTTTTTCAATCAAGGCACCTTTCTGTGTATTCAAGGATCTGTCTGAGACATGTTTGACCACATTTACAACATGACAACATTTAACACCGTGATGTGCATTCAATGCCAATATGTTCTGTGCGTATGTAGATAAGAAAAAGCTTCAGAATTAACTTGAATTCTTAAGTGTTGAGCACACTTAACACAATTTCTATATAAGGAATTAAGCAAGAATGAGCATGAAGAGTAATAACAAAGGACTCCCTACAAACACCTTCACTAGTTGAAAGCTTCATAAAGGGAAGTAGAACGATGAGTACTTTCAAAATCCTATAAAGTAGACAACCGTACTGCAATGCTGACAAAACCAAAAGACATTCAGAAAAATATGGAAAATGGAGGATATCTAACCTATTGCATTCTGCTGCTGTTTAGTTGATGAATGCAAGAAAAACAAACATCAATCAATTTGTGTAGGAGACTGGCCTGGTCTTGTACTTTACCTGGTGCGGAACCGAACCAAGCCACTCACTAGGCCTACATAAATCTCATCACTTGACTGCACCAAACGACCAAGTGAGTGAGTCGGTGGTCTCGCTTGCTCAGCCGTCATGGCGTTCCATTCCCAGTAGTTGGGCGTACGCACAGCTGCATCATCTAACAGAGCCAATCCCAGTGTCGGGAGGGAGGAGAGAACAACAAGAACCACTGTTAATAATAGAGAAACAAAACCAGCTGACTGATGGGAAGGAAACACCTGCTCTCAATCAAAACCATCTCCAGTCTTGTTTCCGAAATCTCTATAGCAAGTAACCAACACTGCCAAAAGAAACCCAGGTTATCCGAATCACTGCATGCAGCCAGTCTGACAGAACATCACAGATGGGTAGTTACCTCTCCTGCTTCATATGCAGGATATCCCAGGTTTGAATCTCAAACTGGAGACCAGCTATCTTGCCCTTCCATGCAAATAATAGGATAGTGTCCCATAACAGGTTATGGCCATTTGTGTCCATGTCCTTTTAAATTAGTCACTCACAATCACTGCACGATTTGATGCTATGACATAAACTGTGACTAAAAAAATGCCCTTAAAACAATTTGTTGGTGTCCTTCCTGCAAAATGTGTTATGTGAACAAATATAACTTCCAGACATACAGCTAACGGGACCCTGAACAATCTAAAAACATACTGCTCAATATTCGGATAACAAGAGCTTTCTTGATCAATTTCTAAGGACAAAATGTACGACTCAGAATGTCAGAGATATGTGGAAGACATGATGACTGTCCAACCAAAGACTGAAACAACACACTCATAACCACACATTATTCAACTGGAGCTGAAACACTTCCCCACCTTTGACAAACAGGAAAGGATATGGGAAGGTAACGCAGCAGCAGTAGCACCCTGTAGATGCATGACCACCAGTGCAAGGATCATTTCAAAACATGAAACTGTGTCACATTTCTTTATTGCAGTTGAAACACCAAACCAGCCAAACTCTTTAAATAACTAGTGGTTCTGAATCAAGGGAGCAGTACTGTACAGTCATTTCAACTTAAGACATTTTGTCACATTCTGTATGAATTCCAGCAAATGTTAGCCTTTGCTCTGCCTGAAAGCTGAAATAACTGTTTTCTGTATCTAACACAACGCGCGCTAAGTTTTCAGGGAGTTTCATCATGCAAAAAACTGAGCTGATTTTTTAAATTATAAATAATTCAGCTTCCAAAATTGTTAAGTATTTACTCCATGAAAACTTATGTATTATTGCAAGCACAATGCCCAGCACTGGAAGAGCCAGAGTCTTCTCTTTCCCATCAATACTGAACATAAGCGATGCCCATTCATAACAAACCCCTACTTCAACATAAGTTGTGCTTACAAAGACATTTAAAAATCATTCATATACCCAAACAGAATACAAAATGGATGTGTAAATACATTTTGTTATGCAGAAAACATCATCTTCAAAACTGACATTATTTTGTTATGACAAGGCACCGCTGAACTTTCTGTGCTGAGGACAATGCGCTGTCCCAACCACAGGGTTAGTGGCATCTGAACAGGAGAACTGGTCAAGCACAATTACTTTGTCTGCATGCAACAAATGGCAGTTGCTAATATATGATGACTCATTCAGTTCAAGAAAAAATTACTGTTATCTCACTCTGAAGTAACAGTGCCTGACCAATATATTGGAGAGGACTGTATTGACCACAGTGCCTTCGCAGTCTTATGACTCATATATCGCGACAAAACAATTTCAATGTATGAAATGTGCAACAAGAATTGAAGTCCATATCAACTTGAAGGGACCATGTTCAAACAGGTTGGCAAATGTTTCAGCCAAAAAATGACATTCACCTCCTCACCAGGACTCTGTACAATCACTATCTTAAATAATTATTTTCAGTATATAGTACAGTTTTCAAGTTCTTCATGAATGAGCAATGACATTCTCTGTGACATGCTGTCACACAATACATTTTATCCTTAGAAAACATCACATTATTCAGAGAAAGGAAAACAGGGCAGATTCAAAATAATATTGGTTCATGTTTGAAGTTTATGATATTTTTCAAGTGGACATAAGTTGGACACTACTAAGAAAATGTGCTGGGACACGGTAAGCTGTGGATACTTCGATAAAAGCATGTTGACACAGGGCAAAATCTGGACACAAGATAAAGCTCATTGGGAGAGGCTACAATCTGGAAATTACTAGTGAAAGATTTTGGGAAAGGGAGGTTTACAAGTGCGGTTTCCAATCATGAACGTCATGACAAACTTACATTACTCCGATGACAAACGTTGGTTCTTACCTTAGCCTCATCAAGTCGACCCAATGCTTTGAGAAGATTTCCCAAATCACTTCTCACACAGTACAGGTCCTGCAACAAAACAAACCACTGATATCAGATAAGACACCACTCACACTCTCTCTCTCTGTATACTCGTATATATATTGTCGCGTATCGGGCGTATACCGCGACAAATAAATTCTCGATGTATTCGGTGTAGCGAATTTTATTTCACATTCGCACTTACAATCACTCAAATTACAGATTTACGATTACTGCTATCTGCAGTATCACAATTAGTACACTCCAAATGCCAGAATACAACTGACTAGTTGCTGGCTAACTCGGCGGTAGCTCCAGGACTCACTGACTGACTCAGTACAACTGACTGTGAATAGCCTTCGCTGCTCCCTATGTAGCCTCGATCGGACAATACGGCCACGTAATAGGCACCCTTGTTGCCTGGCGCTGTGTTGCTAGCAACGCTAGCGGTAGTAACCGCTGTTACTACTGTAACGTCGCCGCTGTTGACTCGCGTTGCCTAGCGACCGCGATATCCCTCGGTGACGTCACCGCGGAGGGGAGTGGCGGGGCGGGAACTCGCCTATTACCGTAGTAACGCGAGCGTTATGTTACCGCCACGTACCGCTGGGGAGGTAGGGGTCAACATGTCACAATATATATATATATCCACATACAGGGTTATTAAAAACGAATGAACCGATTTCATGACACATTGCTTCAGTTCTCACGCATCATCATGGAATGAGTCAGTGACCATTTAAAAGAGGAGTTATCTAAGTTGTGAATGGCTGCCACAGGGGTGCTGAAGTCGCGTCGTTCTTCCGGCAACGTTCAGTTGTTCGTTTACCCTCGGAATGGCAAGTCCTCAGCAAAAGGCGTTCTTCGTTCTTGAGTTCACGAAAACAAATTTGGTTGTCACGGTGCAGCATGCTTTTCGAAGGTGATTCGGCATTAATCCGCCCTGTCCTAAGAACATTTGACGGTGGTTTTGACAGTTTCAAGAAAGTGGGTGTCTGTGTAAAGGAAAAAGTCCAGGACGACCACGAGTCTCGGAGGAACAAGTGGCGAGAATCCATGCTGCGTTTGAGAGGAGCCCGCAAAAGTCAACAAATCGAGCTAGCCGTGAGCTTGCGATCCCTCAATCCACTGTCTGGTGTGTGTGCTAACAGTACATCTACATTTGAAACCATACAGACTGCAGATCGTTCAGGCACTTACCAATGATGACAAAAGGAAGCGGATGGAATTTTGCGATTCGATGCTGGAGATGATGGAAGACAAAACCTTCATTTCACGTTTAATTTTTAGTGATGAAGCGACTTTTCACTTGAGCGGCACAATCATCACAATGTGCGTATTTGGGGAACAGAGCACCCACATGAAACAGTTGAGCACGAAAGAGATTCCCCTAAGGTGAACGTCTTATGTTCTGTGTCTCAGGACAAGGTGTATGGTCCCTTTTTCTTTGAAGGAAACACTGTTACAGGACAAACCAATCTCGATATGCTCAAAAACTGGCTCTTCACTTCATTGCAAGCAGATTCGCATGGTCCGAGCTTCTTTAAATGAAAAAGTGCCCCAGCGATGGATTGGTCAGAAGGGGCCAAAGACCTTGCTCTTTGTACTTGGCCTGCGAGATCCCCAGACCTCACCGTGTGTGATTTCTTCTTGTGGGGATATGTAAAAGATCACGTTTATGTTCCACCGCTACCCACTAACCTCAATGACCTTAAATATCGAATAACAACAGCGATTAACTCAGTGCATCGTGATATGCTGATATGCCTGGGAGGAATTCTCTTATTGCACTGATGTTGCCCGGGCTGCAGGTGGGGGCCACATTGAACACTTGTAAGACAGGAAATAAAAGTTGATTGTGAGTAGTATACTTGTGACTTGGCTGGAGTTTTGTATTACTTTCCTTTAATAAATATTGCATAATAAAATCGGTTCATTCTTTTTGAATAACCCTGTATATATATAATGTAACATGAATGGCCAGAGCGCTTCTAGGCAATGACCTGTAAACAATCTTCAGTCAGGTAAGTGCACCCAACAATAGGATGAGTGTTTATAGTTTGTTGCTAGGCAACAGTTAGTGCACCAATCAACTAGTGATGTAACTATCATGTAACCGGCTTTCTATGGAGTCGGTGCTGTGTCCATTGCTATGCAATCGTTTGGTAAACATGTTTCAACAATATAGGTTGTTTTCTGTGCATGGTCAGTGCAGAGGCTATATAACGAGAGTCCATACAGAACAGATTTCAGTGTTCCAGTATCTGAATGTTTAAGTGACAGTGAGAGAGTTCTTGGTGTAAGATAGCCAAGGAAATTTTGTCGTGTGAAGACGTGATGTGTGATTAGAAGACTTTACTCATGTGGAGTGATTTGAAGCACTAATTTCTGTGTTGAAATACGTTACCTGGAGAGGACTAGTGTGTGCGTGCAACAGAGAATTATGAAGTACGTAAACCAGTTATAGCACTGTAATCTGAGTGTAAATGAAATATGTTGTAACCAAGTGTTGAGGCCAAGCCATAGCTGAAGCGGTTAGTCGCTGGCTTTCCATCGCAGAGGCCCGGGTTCGATCCCAAGTCTGATCAAGTTGGATTTGTGGTGGACAAAGTGGCACTGGGGCAGGTTTTCTCTGAGTACTTCAGTTTCCCCCGCCAATCTTCATTCCACCAATTGCTCCACAATCACCCTGACCTATCATCTGGGGCTGGTACAATAGGCCAGAAGTGGCTGCAGTACAAGGGACTTAGTCCCACCCCACTATATATATATATTGTAACATGTTGCGCAACGGAGAACCCCTCCCTACCCAGCAGCAACGTGGCAACTCAGGCCACAGGCGCGTGGCGGTAACGTAGCGCTCCCTCCCACCCCTCCGCGGTGACGTAACGCACAACGCTACATACCCGTAATCAACTTCCTACTGTGACGTGGCACTCATTATGCAACAGGCAAGCACTGCAGCTATATAAGTGAGCTGCACAGCAGCTACCAGTGAGTTCTACTGTAGCAGTCGCCGAGTCGAGTTGTAATGTGGGCAGTCGCCGAGTTATAAGNGATTGTTAAATAAACCAATTAACCATCTCTATGGCGTCTTCAGTAACGTAAACAAGTTACAATATATATATATATATATAAAGTGTTAATAAATCCAATCATCCGAACTAAACCCATCATTCTTGCCAGACACATGGCAATATGTATATATGCATACGGCAAAAACGAAATATTAAAGCTTCCTAAAGCATTTCCACATTACACAGTTTTATATGAATCATGTCTAATCTTCTCCCAGCTCAAAGCTCTAAAATGTCCATTATAAACTGCTGTTCCTGGCCTTAGCATCCACAACTGTTCATGCTTTCTTCCAGTCTTCTAGGCAGATTCACTACATGCTACTTCAACAGACCATGGGAATTTGGCAGCACAAGCAATTATAGAAGGTAAGGTAAAGTTGTCCCTGGCCAGTCACGGTAGTCGAGCGGTCTAAGGCATGTACTGTCTTCGCTCACTTGGAAACTGGGATCGTGGGTTCGAATCCCACTAAGGGCATGGCTGTTTAGTTTGTGTGTGCGTTTTTCTGTGTTTGTGTACAGGCAGAGGCCTTGCGACGAGCTGATCACCCGCCCAAGGAGTCCTACCGAATGTGTAAGATGCAGAAAAAACGAAGTGAACGGAGAAGTTCATGGAGGTAGGCCTAGGCCCACTGGGGCTGTAGTGCCAGGGGGGGGGGAAGTTATCCCTGTGCTTAATTAATTACGCACCAAGACATGAAGACATATGGAACATGGACGTATAGCTCCACCATTCTTGACCTTGGCACCAAATGGAGGTGAGTGGTACATTTCATACCACAGTTGCTTTACACCCCGAGGGGGCCCCAGAGCCAGTCCAAACACTGTGGAGGAGAGAAAAATTTCTTGGCCTCGCCAGGAATCAAACCCTGGCTGTCCAACCCACAGCCCATTGCTATACAGAATGAAGTGTCCTGCATCCTGCACAATCAATTATATTTTAATTAAATATTTATTTACATAAATGCAGACGTAAAAATTCGGGTGGAGAAAGTTTCGTTTAATTATGATAGGCTTCAGCACTCTTAGCGAGATCACTGCTGACTACTTTTTCTGGGTTATTTTATGATGCAGTGAGTAGCTCAACTACGCAGTGTCAAAAAGTAAGATTATCAATGAATTGGAAAGGACTTGGAAGGTAATGCTCGTGGCCTAAATCGAGGTATTATTCTGGGCATCTACCAGGAGAGACCGAGGAAAACCACGGAAACCTAGGTCAAGATGGGTTTCTTTCCAGTCGAGATTCGAATCGCGCACTTTGCCAATACGAGTCCCGAGGGCTAGCTATACAATAACCGAAATGCGTGTGTTAACTGTCCAACATACAGACTCCGAAATCAGAGAATTTCCTTGAAAAAGCAAGACTTCTGGAAAAAGTGCATTGGACATAAATGCGTTTCGATATTCTCCACAACTTTTGTCTGAAATATTCTATGCTCCTATATAGTTAGTCATTTTGAGAGGGTGGGCTTCCCCATGCACCGCGACCAATTTGATCTATTGTGCTTCCCTCTATGATATTCTACCAGTCTCTATACCCTACCGATAAATGGTGCGTACCATCAGTCCCGCCGAGCAAGCGAGTTCGGCCACTTGCTTAGCGGTATCTATAATGATTCCCCCATCTATCAGAGGCCTTAGAGACTATTGTTGGGCGGGAAACGTCCTGGAATTTGGCTCGGTGATCCCCTTTGGGGATATGAGGTTCTTTTACGTGCCGTAAAGTTACGACACGGGACACACAGCTTGAAGTCCCTCCCGGAGGACTTGTTCCCTGAATTTTTCCGCCCTTAAAAATTCGACGACATCCGCCGGGTATTTGAACCCGCGTACCACGAGTCATGAGGTGGGAACGTTACCTCTAGACTACGGAGGCCGCTTATGCTCCTATATATGTAACAGGATAGTGCAAAAACGCATTTTTGTCTTCATATAAAGTGCCTATTACTCATGTACGATTTTAATCGAAACTGG